TATATATTAAAAAGAGAGTTGCGTTTATATTTTTGTTTGGTGTAAATGTGGAAGTGAAAGGCGTTATACCTGTTTATCTTCTCTCATGATTGTTTTGTCACTCTTTATTTCTAGTTTCTCTGTTTGGGTGGGGTCGGGTAGGAAATAGACTGTTTCTGTTTTGCTGATGTAGAGTACCGATGTTATATTTAACAAGTCAAAAGAAAAGCACTATATAAATACAACTTATGTCATGCTGTGCTGAGTCTAGTAAAAACATTATTTCCCTTCAGACTCCAGAACAAAATCTATCTGAGTTGTATCCAGTCACGTCATAATGAATCCAGTAATCATGATGACATTTATTTAACATAACACTTGAGTCAGAGCAGTTTGATACTTACAGGCCCCATAATAGTAGCTTGCCAATGAAACACTGGAAAAAAAGGGGATGGAAATGGTTACAAAAGCATTTACTGTGGGTCAGGTGTACAGAAAATAGAGTCTGTATGTGTCTTTGTTTGTTCTGTACATGTGAGGAAAAGACTAAAAGAAAATGATCTTACTGTCTTCACCGACAGGTCCGGCAGAGCACTGAGCTGGAGGATCTCTGGACAGATCGGTTAGCTCCTAAAACACAGAGAGAGAAGAAGAAAGATAAAGTTAAAATAAAGAAGAAATTTACATTACACATACATTAACTATGATTTTAAAGTCTAGAGTTAAGACACAATCAATCACGAAAACCTTCAAAATAAAAGAGCTGTTTACCAGTAAGATGGTATATAATTTTTTTTATTCTAATAATCAAAATGTCTTTTCTCTTTTCGCGTCATTCTCCCAGTATTCCCGTTTTCTGTTTTGCCACTGAAACAAGCAACAAACATCTCTCATTTGTTTCCGGTTTGTGTGCTGTTATTTGCTGCTTTGCATTTTGTTCTCTTGGACTGTTTCCTGTTTTGAAAACGTCAACGCCAGGTGCCACAAACAAACACACTGAGGAACGAGGCTGCAGCTCATCTAACAAAGGGAAAGACTAACCACTAACTGAAAGAGTTAACTGTTGAAGTCCCGACCTTATCAACAGAGAAACATCACCTTCAAAACAAGTCTACTTCTGTCTGATTTACATGTTTTGTGTTGTTGACTGAGTCCATGCTGCAGTCAGCTGGTTTAGATGACAACAGAGTTCAAAGCTGACGATCCCATAATTCTCTGTCAAGAGGTCTATTAATAGGTTAAGAGTATTGCTGGGCAATAAATCAATATTATAAAGATACTGCAAGATAAGTCTAGACATGGTCTTAGATTTTGGGTACGTCCCATGTGTTGTCTTTACCTGTTTTTAAAGTCTGCATTACAGCAAAGTGATGTAATTTATCTGTTGTATTATTTGCCTTTACACACAGTGTGTAAATATTTTGTGAAAGCACCAGTTGTCAACCCTACAATACTGCACCAACACCCATATCAAGGTAATTAGTCAAACATATTTTGGTATTTGATTTTTTCCATATCATCCAGCCCCACTTAGGTGTTTTTCTTCAGATAATGTAAAAGAAAAACTCTTAAAAATGTACAAATCACCACAAAAAGCACTTCTGAATTTTACCTTAAAATAACCTTAGTGTTTCAGGTAAGGTGCATTTTCAGGGGCGGCTTTGTTATTCGGTAAAAGTTTAGACACTGACAACACATGTGGGGTTAATTAATGAATAATCAGTGGACTAATATATTAAAGGTTTTGACAAGTTATTTGCATGGATTAAAAGGCCCTTAAGTGCCAGAGTGCACATTGTGTTTTATTCTCATCGGCGGTGTCTTTTCAATTGTTTCCGATAACGACAGAGCGTATGTCCAAGAAAAAAAAAAGCCACGTCCAGCGTTATTTTTCAGAGCGCCACGCCTTTTGTGTTCGGCTGCTCAAAGTGCTTCTGGTTGGAAATCTCTTAACTTTTAAGAAAGGTGTTGCTGACGTCACTGCTGGTTATCTAGCTAGGCTGCTGTCTACCATCACAACTAAGGGAGAAGACCCTCAACCCTCTGTTGATGTAGCGTCACATTAGCTACCTAGCTAATGTTAGTGTCAAGATATTGTTGTCATAGAAACATATCCATGAGGACCACATCATTTAAAAAAGCGCTGGGAGAGCCCTGCCACTGCTTCCTTTTTTTTTACCCTTTACCCTTAAAAAAGCCCTTAAATTAAACAGCCCATGAGCTGGTACATCATCATCTTGAATCATTAACAATGGGTTAACAAAAATATTTCTGTAATGAGCTCTAACACCAACTTCTCTTAAAACCACAACTTCTCCTTTCCATGTTCTTATTTCTGCATTTCTCGACCCCGTGTTTACTGAGCTGACATCTTCCTCTGTTGTCTGAAGCTGCAGAAATTCTTTTAACTCCATCAGTTCTCAGAAGTCAGTGAGTGTTTTGAAACACCATGAACGACAAGTAAAGCCAGTTGTGTTCAGATGAGATAAGGAAATAGAGTTACTACGTGGAGATAAAGAACCCAGCAGCGCCTGTCTGTCAAGGCTTCACATGTTCAAACAACATGTTACATCTGTCAACACGCTATCACGGATGTCTGTTAACAGATCGGCTTCATTCAACCACAAACCAAACATGTCAACCTCACCCACAAGCCGGCTTTATCCTGCTGTTGAATCAAGAGTGCAGGTATCTTTTAAAATTTATGAATGAGATATTTCAACAAAACCAAACAGGTGCACATCCAAGATATAACCTCACATCATGTGTTTCTAATAAAGTTTTATACGTCAGAAATGAGCATTTGACCAATACAGTAAAACCGTCATTGTTTTTTAAGCTACCTCTAAACATACCGAGGCCCCAAAAATGTAATTATTTTGTTGAGGAGGATGAAAAGCAACAAACCGTCACCTCTGTCAGAACCTGGAGACTTTACCACTGACCAGGCCTCAAAACCAAACATACTTAGAGCCTGACTGAAGTCACAATCAACATTTCACTGCGACAAATCACATTCAAAACACACTTTTATGGAATCAACATGAAACAAATGGCACCACCAAACATGGGTGTCCCTTCACTGTAGTTCCAGCAGCTTTTTAAGCATGAGAACTGGTCATTTTTTTGAGAGACATTGCTGTTTTCCTGCCGGAATAGTGACATAAGAGGTCTTTGTTTTTCCCGAGACACTGCTGCACATCCTGTAGGGATGGTGGCACAAAAAGGCGGTTGGTTTTTATGGAGACATCACTGCATTTCCTGCATGACAGTGGAACAAAAAATGGTTGTTGTTTTTTAAAGACATTGCTGCATTTCCTGCAGCACAGTGGCACTTTTTTAACATTATTTTTTAGGGCTTCTTGGCCTTTATTAGCTCAGCTGAAGAGTGACAAGAAAGGAGAGATGACACGCAGCAAAGGGCGACGGGTTGGTATTGAACCTGGGCTGCTGCAAAGGACACATGCACTCTACTAGTAGAGCTAGAGGTCGCCCCAAAAAGCAGATGTTTTTTCCCCGAGATATACCGGCTACATGTCAACCACAGCATTGTTGAAACATAAAGATTCAACATATCCACGACTTCATAACATGCTAATGTAACATATGTGGTTTGCAGAAACATACAATTCCCAAAACATTTCTGGCATTTGGGTTCTTAAAACATACGTGGACTTCACACCATGGTGCTCACGATTAGTTAATTAATTAATGGCTGCAACTGTCAATTATTTTCATTACCAGTCAATTTCAATGAAATCAACTGGTCCATAATTATCAGAAAGTAGTAAACAATGGGCATCAAAACTGATACAATCATAGTGCTTGTTTCAAGACATTCAGCATAATATTTTAAGACGAAGAAAAAAAATTTAAGCAATAATCGATTTTTAAAAATGATTATTGCTTCATTTTAGATCTACATTAATCTACAACTTCATTATCAATTAATCAATAATGTCATTTACTAAACAACCTCCAGTTGTTCTCCCATGTCTCAGATTTGCTTTTTCACATCACAGTAGACTGATTATATTTGACTTCTGGACAGTTGTTCGGACAACACAAGACATCTGAAGACGTCCCCTTGGACATTTCTCACTCTTCTGAAATTGCATCGACCAAATCATTGATTGGAAATCTATTCAAGAAGCCCCGCAGTACTACAAAGACATATTTATTTCGAAGGCTAACGCCGGCAGCTGAGACACGAAGCTGAACTTGTGTCTCCCATGTGAATGCAGCATTAAAAACAAACTGAGACACACGGGTCATTATTGATGTGTAAGCAGCAGGCCTATTTTTACTCAGCGAGTCGTGTGGACAGAAGAGTCGGGAGGCCAGATCAGGATATATCAGTGGAGCGGGGGTGAAAACACACGGCTGCTTATAGGACGAGAGGTTTGTATTTCCAGCATGCAGGTCTGCCTGAAGCCAAACTGTGTGTGTGTTGGTATGTGACATACAGGCTCGGCACACACACGGCTCATCTTTCAGATTTGACTGAGTTTAGGAGGAGAGAAAATGGTCAGGAATTCAGACACTGACTGTGACAGAAGCAGCTGGGAGAGCAGACATTTACCCTCGTGTTAAAGTCCTCACACTATTACCAGTGTTTTTAATAATGTTTCATTACTTTTTCAATCCATTAGACAAAAACAAAGACATGTTGCACTAAATACGTCTCCTTCGATCCACTGGTTCCTCCTTTACTTTATTTTTTAGCAGCTATAATGAATACCAGGGGAAATAGTGTCATGGTAGACAGTTTTTAATTTAAAAAATATCAAGAAGGTAAACTGCTTGATTCTTTTCACAGATAAGTGTTTCTGTTGCGCAAAAGAATGTAAAAGTCAAGTTGAAATTTACCAGAGTTGAGACACTAAAACACATGCTGCCACACACAAAGTGAACCAGAGAGAAAAACAGGTGCTTATAATATTTCCTTGACATGTTAAGGTCATGAGTATTACCTTTAAAAATCTGTCCTTTTTGGGTGTCATACAGCTGACAACATTTCAATAAACTAGATCATTGTTCCCACATGAATCGGATTTATGGCTGTACCGAATATTTCCATGCTCTGAAGTTTCAATCACAACACTGACATTTGATTTCTGCATTTTTGCATGTCAATTTAATCTGTCTGAATCTGTTGTTTCTGCAAAGGTTAGGCTACACTTACATTATTAGTACTAAACTATTTGCACTATTTTACTAGATTCCAGTGGCGCAAGGCTGCACAGTTAGGTGAAATATTATCGCAATTGTAATATAGTCAAATGCAATTTTCAAATCACAGGAGCCACAATTTTTTTATAAAGGTAAAATGTGACCAAAGCATTTCCAGTAACTCCAGAGCGTTGTAAAGCTAAAATGTCCAGATTTCTTGATAAGAAGATAGTTGTAATCATTTCCAAAATTTACAGTTTACTTCTGACAAAACATCCTGCTTCAAACAATGTTTGTTGGTGTTTAGAAGTAACACCAACATTTTCACTGCAGGAAAAAACTGTTTGCTCTCCCCACACACATGTAGTAATGATAGTATAACTTTATTCAAATTGAGGATTTTGTCTGATTTATTTATTTTTTTTTAAATTACGTCATAAAATGTGACAACAGACACTTGAAGCTGTATTCAAAAGATGGTTCGAATGTAAAAGTTTGGCAGAGCCCTAATCAGATGAGTTGTAACTGATATCCACTGGTATACAGTGAACTTTGTGGTGGATGTGTTGAAAGCTGAAGAGTGACAAGAAAGGAGAAATGACACGCGGCAAAGGGCGACGGGTTGGTATCGAACCTGGGCCGCTGCAAAGGACATGTGCACTCTACTAGTAGAGCGAGAGGTCACCTCAAAAAGCAGATATTTTTTCTCCAAGATATCCCGGCTACATGCTAACCACAGCATTGTTGAAACATAAAGATTCAACCAACCCTTACAAATATGTACAGTATGTGTAAGTGTGTGCTACACACCTGTCCAACCTTCAGGGTTGGAAATCAGCACCAGTCACAAGCCAAACGCTGGTTAAAGAAATCTAAGTGGCTGCTTGTTTCTCTTACAGGCCAAAAAACCAATAATCTATTATTTTGGAATCCACCTGATATAGTTAATTTCCAACCTTGCCAAACTTCCTTTTAAAAAAGTTTGACTTCAGTTTGACTGTATTATACTTTGTGTGTGTTTATCTGTAGTACATTTATTTATCAGTTACTTAAAGGTTCAAGGTGTAAGATTTAGCGGGGTTTAGAGGCGTCTAGCAGTGAGGATTGCAGATTGCGACTAGGGCTGCAACTAACCATTATTTTCATTGTCGACAAATCTGTCGATTATTTCTTCAATTAGTCAACTAATCATTTTATCCAAAAATGTGTTAAAATGTTGAAAAATGTCGGTCTGTCTCTCCCAAACCCCAAAATTATGTCATCTAATGTCTTGTTTCGTACTCACACCAAAGGGTTTTAGTTCACCATCATGTTGTTGTTCAGTAGGTTTTTACCAGGAGGTGAATTATCCACAGAGGTCTTTACTTCTCCAAAACAAACGGACCTGGTAATTTCAACTGGGTCCATTCATTTTCACGTTACAAAATCTGTCTTTTTCCAACGCTGCTCGTCGCAAATGGGTTTCTCACTATAGTGGCTGATGTGAGAATGTGAATGGCCCTCTCTGGAGCCAGTGTTTTGTTTGTTCATTCTGGGCTACTGTAGAAACATGGCGGTGCAACATGGTGATCTCCATAAACAAGGATGTGCTCCATATGTAGATATCATGAACTCACACTAAGGTGAACAAGAACATAGTTCTTATTTTCTGGTACAGTAAAAGAAAAATCATACTTGTCTATTGGACTTTTAACGAACTATTTCAAATGCAGCTTTAATGACATCACATAATTTTGAGTACTCTCTGAATTTCATCTGCAGTGTCACACATTAAATTCAAGTTCACTGTTATGACAGTGTGCAAAATAGAACAAAAAGCCTGTTGTGTCTCCCAAAGGGTTAAACAGGCAAAACCTCCCTGACAGCATTTTAAATACCTCACACAATGTTTAGATGGTTCCACATGTGTTTGGTCTGACCAATAATACAAAAATATTCAGTTTAATAACACATAAGGGGGAAAATGATACATATTTGATGTTATGGTACTTTTAAAATTAATATCTTTGTCATATTTTTGTAGTATCTTTTCTAACCTATATTTATGTTCTTGAGTGTTTCTGTTTGGCCTATTTAAATGTGTTTTTTGTATGTTTAATGTATGCACCAAAAAAACAAAGCAAATTCTTTGTCAATGAAAATCTACTTAATAATAAATCTTAATCACTTTTGTCCTTATGACCTTATTAACTGTTTAATTTTGCCTGACTGTCCTAACCAGCACTACACAGAAGTATATAAAAATGTAATTAAAATGATCTCCACCTTTACCTGCTGCATCTGTAAAGTGATAGACATGAAATGGGTAGATGAGTAGATGCTATACTTTTGGACCAAAGTGAGATTTGAATGCATGATTTTTACTTGTAACAGAGTATTTGTACACTATTTTTACTTTAGTAAAATACCTCAGTAGCTCTTCCTCCACTTACTGACTGTAAACTTGAAAGACAAACCTCATTGTAACTGAAAACCGAAACTCAACGTGGACAAAACAAAAGCAGGTGTCTGTAAGATGAATGTAACCTCACAATTATTTAAATGAACTACAAAACATTTCAGTGAGAGGCCTCAAGCTAAAGCTAACACCGGTTTATTGTTTCATTTGAGACCTTCAACACCCGCCGCGGGGGGTTTTTACCAAAAACCTGCCTCAAGTTCACAGAGACACACCGAAACACAACACACAGAAAATAACTCGACACGTCTCAAAGTAAAGCCCAGCTGTAATCTGACGGTTTGTGTCATATGTTGTGTCATCGGTAGCAGCTGCTCACAAAGCTAACTGTGCTAGCTAACGAGCTAACGGCTGACAAACATCAGCTATGAAAGCTTCAACCGCCAAACTCTGGTTTTAATTAAATGTGAGGGGAAAAGGGGGAAGTCCGTTACCTTGGTAATTCGTTTTAAAGCCATTGTGTCTGCGGCTGTCGAGGTGGAGGAGGTGGAGGAGGAGGGCAGGCCAGCTAGGTGACGCTAACTACCGAGCATCTAGGACTTTGCTAGCTTTTGTAGGCTGGCTCGAAGCTAACTAGCTGTGCTACACATACGCCGGTTAAACTACAACTTGTCTTTTCGTTAAATCTCCGTCTTTTTCTCACGGACTTTCAGCTCGAGACTGGAGACTGACTCTCCAGCACGTCAGCCCTGACTTCAGGCTGACACTAGAATAATGAACCGGACCGACCGCAGCAGCTCAAAATGTCTTCCGTTTCACACAGAGAGCAGCTGTCAGAGCACCGGGAGCAGGAGGTCTCACTCTGACGCTGTTTCAGGCGGGAGGTCTCACTCTGACGCTGTTTTAAGGCACCGAGCAAACAGAGCGCAGCTGTCAGAGCACCAAGAGCAGGAGGTCTCACTCTGACACTGTTTCTGGCACTGCAAAATGACACCCAACAACATCAGAGTCAGAAACTGGTTTATTGGCCAAGAAAGTGTGTACACTCTCTAATGGACATTTTAAAACTATATACACTCACCGGACACTTTATTAGGTACACCTGTTCAACTGCTTGTTAACTAACATAGCTAATCAGCCAATCGTGTCAGCAGCTCAATGCATTTGGTCATGTAGACATGGTGAAGACAAGCTGCTGAAGCTCAAACGGAGCATCAGAATGATGAAGAAAGGTGATTTAAGTGACTGAACGTGGCATGGTTGTTGGTGGAGTATTTACTGGGATTTTCAGCACAACCATCTCTAGGGTTTACAGAGGATGGTCCCAAAAAGAGAAAATATCCAGTGAGCCAAAATGCCTTGTTGATGCCAGAGGTCAGAGGAGAATGGCCAGACTGGTTCAAGATGATAGAAAGGCAACAGGAAGTCAAATAAGCACTGGTTCCAACCAAGGTGTGCAGAAGAGCATCTCTGAAGCAACAACACCTTGTCCAACCTTGAAGCAGATGGGCTACAGCAGCAGAAGACCACACCAGGTGCCACTCCTGTCAGCTAACAACAGGAAACTGAGGCTACAATTCACCAAAACTGGACAATAGAAGATTGGAAAAACCACATTCAGATGGAAGCATGGATCCATCCTGCCTTGTATCAACGCTTCAGGCTGCTGCTGGTGGTGTAATGGTGTGGGGGAGATTTTCTTAGTACCAACTGAGCATGGTTTAAACACCACAGCCTACCTGAGTATTGTTGCTGACCATGTCCATCCCTTTATGACCAAAAAAACCCCACCAACTTAATGAAATAATTTAGCCGCAGTTATAAATAAACACTTAACAAATGTTTTTATATATAAAAAACAACTTTATTTAAAAAATAACAACCAATGAAAAGCTGGTGTTGAACTGTACAGTGCAGGGCGAAGATATAAATATCAGAGAAGAGCTTTGGTTTCACACAGAGAAAAGACTACAACACCTCACAGCTCTGGACTGCTGCCAGTCTTTGTACTAAAATATATGAGTCGTATGTTACTGGAGGAAGACACAACAGACTGAGGAGACATTAAAAACATTTTTTTAAAACAAGTTCATTGAGTTTTTTGTTTTTATGAAAAGTTTGAGTGGTGACACATGGACAGAAAATAAATGGCCCTTAAAATTAAAAAACACTAAACAGAATTAAAAAAATCTTTGACATGCACACTTAAAGGACAATTTCACATGTTTTAAAGTCTGTCCTCACACAATACTCACATGTTCATATGTAATGAGCTGTTTGTAATGATTCCTCCTGTTTGTACTGACTGCGAAGGGATCTCTTTATGACACAAGTACGCCAGAGGCAGAACACTCAGTGGCCACTTTATTAGGAACACCTCTACAATCTAATGCGGTGAATACAACTGTTGTTCTATAACATCTCTCTTTATGAGGTTCAGTTTTAGGCATATATCAGAGGCACACATAGACAGTGTTTGTGTAATTACTCTCCCTGCCAGAGGGGGGAGACAAACGTTCTGCACTCCACCTTTAAAGCTGATGTTGTGCTGGATTATATTAGAATATCAGAAATGCCTCTGAATATAATGTAGCCCAATACAACACCATCTCTAACTATGACCTCAGTAATAAATACATAGTTTAAGTTACACATTTCTGACAGTGTTAATAGAAAACGAATATTAAAGGCGTCATAAAAGTGGAACAGTTGTATTAGACTGTAAAGGTGTTCCTTATAAAGTGGACACTCCATGAACTGACGTGTTTTTATATATTTTGTGTTGTGCACAGATCATTTATCGCGAACTTATCAAGTCAACACGTCAACGCAAACATGTTAAGTACAATTTGAACAAAAGAATAGTTTGACATTTTGGGAAATACACGAATAACTACGACTAGCAGCTGGTTAGCTTAGCATCAAGCAGGGTTCCCACATTTTCACTGACAAAATTTCAAAACTTTTACGTGACCTCTCAAGGACTTATAAAACTTTTCTTCTTGCAACACTTGCCCAGTGTTTTTCAAACATATCTGATTCATCTGGCGTACATGGAGGGAGACAAAAGCTGTCACACATTAACGTATATCAGAGCTACGTTACGTCGACAGCTACCGAAAATAAATTTGTTGTTACGCTGCATTACGTGGAAGGTTATCCACAGGTTACTGTAACAGTGTCGTTACACACTCGGGGTGGGAATCACCAGAGGATCCACGATACGATATTATTGTGATACTTAAATCACAATACAATATTATTGCCATTTTAAATATGTTGTGATATGCTGAGTATTGTGATAAAATATACTGCAATTTACAAAGATAAAAACACAGTCTATTTGTATGTTTAACCATTTTGTGTTGAGCTATTTCTTGGCCAGGGGCACAAACTCCCAGAGTTACGAACAACTGGGTTATTTGCATTTCTTTAACCCTTTGAAATCTGGAGCGACATCACTGCTTTCAGACGCCTTTCGCAAGTATTTCAACCTTTGAACCCTGAGCTCATTGGTGCAGTTTATTTCAAAAACATGGAAGAAAGGCAAAAAGCAAATTGGTTTTATTTTCCTCTCTCATTTATTCATTATTATTTTTTATTTCATCTTATTTTCTTTTTATTTATTTAGCTTTAAATTCATACTTTTGGGGTAGGTGGTGGCAGTGGATTACATGTGTTTGAAATACTTGACGGTTACACTGAGATTTTGTTCTGGTGTCCTGTTCTTTTGTGTGTTTCGTGGATATATATATACACATACTGGATGTGTGTATGTCTTTGTTTATTGTTGTTCAAATCAATAAAAAATACTGTTAGAAAAAGAATAAAAAAGAAACCTGGGAAGAAATGTCCCACAAATTGCAAATAATTCATAGATTTAGAAAGGTCTTTTTCTAAAAAAAAAATAAGAAAAAAGCTAGGGAAAAAGTATATAACAATTATTATTACATATCTAAAATTATGTCACAGAATTACTAAAATTTTCCTTGTTTGTTTGTTTGTTTGTATTTTACTTTTTTTATTATTATTTTTTTAAATAATATTCTTGTTTTAAATTATTCTTTTTTTTTTTTTTCTTAATTTCATCCACATTTTTTGGGTGATTTCTTCAATCACTGCTCGTTGCCTTCTTCCCACGTTTTTGAAAGAAATCAAGCCAATTTGTTCACGTTTCAAAGGGTTAAACCAATCACAAGGGTCTTGGGTGGCACTAAAATCAGGATGCACTGACGGTGCTGTTGCAAAATTGTGTTGACAGATAGCAGAAGGGAGGAGAATTCTAAAATAGGCAGCCAATAGCAGGCTTATACCAACAATCTACATCCTGTGAGTCAGGTTAGATTGGTTTAAGTCCCTGTAGGAAATAAAACAGCCCTCTCATTCATTACAAGGCTGGACGTGAGCGCAGACTCTGGGTAAATTCATCTGCAACATTAGGGCTATTTTGCAGCAGTTTCCCTCCTGATTATCACAAGAGAAGAGCTGTAAAATCCTGTTTTTGGTTTTTGATAAACCCTCACAGTTACAGATATTTAACTCAAACTGGACGTCTGAATTAGATTTAAAACACGTCCACACAGACGACTGAATGCTTAACAAAGAGCTGTTTTCACACTCACACTCTTTTCACTTAAAGAGATCTCTTCACAGCCAGTCTGAACTGGAGGAACCATTAGAAACACCAACAACTCTCCATATGAACATTTGAGCGTTGCATTAAAACAGATTTGCAACAATCTGAACCGATCGTTTCGGGCAAATTTCTTTACAATCATTTCAGTATCAATAGCACCTTTCCCCCTGCAGACAGACGATACCTGCTGCAGAAAAAACAAACCGCAGCTCAGAAGACTTTTGCTGCTGAGAATCAGTCGTCCACTTTCACTCTGTCAGATCTGTCCACTCAGCAGCCAACAGAACATGATTCCAAATATTATACAGTCGATCAAATCAATACTTTTCCCTACCACGTGATATCTGATGGACTCTGCTTGCTTTTTGTTTTGTTTTTCCGAGTGAATGATTCCTTCAAACCCACAGTGATTTCTTTCTTTGTTCAGAGAGGAACAAGAAGCAGATTTACATTCTTTGGTGGAACTATTGGAGTGTAGTGTGGGCTGAAACCTTACTAACTAATATGTACGTTACAAACATCTTTTCTGTCTCATCAGGTTAAAAATAACACGTTTAATTAAAAACAAATAAAATGTTTGTGATGAGAAACTGTTTCCTCTGAACTCAGCTCAGCCCGGAGCGATCGATCAATAAATCAATCACTGGATGGATGGATGGATGAATGAGTGAATGGATGGATGAACCCAACTGGGGACGGACCAATGGGACGGTCACGCTGTGGAGAGCTCCACCCCGCTGTCACAGACCCCGCTGTCGATCCGAACGTCCGTCTTCAGATCGTGAACCCGAGAATCACCTGCAGAGAGAGAAACAACAGCTGAGTGGACCTGTTGTTACGGTGATGGTGTTTAAATCAACAGGACAGTCATGTGACCGGACTGTAACCATCATGTGTCTGCTCACCGCTCATCTCATTGGTCATCTGTTCCTCATCGTCGCTGTTGCGCAGCGCCTCCTCCAGGATGCTCAGAGCTTTACAGTCTCCGACTGCCCTCAGACCAGCCAACAGGTCCTTGATCGTCCCACCTGACACCTGCAGGACAACAGATTAACATGATGTCAGCCTTTATTAAGCCTCAACTTTATTCATCTACACAGCATTTTTCATACAAACCTGCAGCCTAAAGTAAAAGCAAATAAATAAAAGCAAAAACAAAACAATGAATTAAATTTAGCATGACAAAAAATTACAACAATAAAATTAAAAAAATAATTGATAAATAAAAGTCAATATAATAAAATAAAATAAAAAACAGGGAAAAACAATGAAAAAAAAGATTAAAACTTAAAAAAACTAACATGAAAAACAGTTTAAAGAGATGATGGTTACCAGTTTTATTGAGTAACCCCAGACACAGAACACAAACAAACCAGTCATGTGACAACCGTTTGTGTGTGTGTGTGTGTGTGTGTGTGTGTCACCTCGTAGCTGTCCAGCAGTGTTTTGGCGGGGGAGGGGCTCAGCCTGAAGGCTGTGTTAAGGATCCCAAGACCCAGACTGTGAGCCAGATTCTCCCAGCATCCTTCACTCTCCAGAGCGCGACACACCTGCTGCTTCACCTCCACGTCCAGGCTCACCAGGTCGCCTACACACACACACACACACACACACACACACACACACATATGTATGTATATTCATACACACACAGATGGTGCATGACGTAAAATACAGTCCAGACTTTCTGTAGGTGTCAGATTTAAATTTAGATTTAAATTCCAACTCATTTATTTATGAATAACTTTTATATTGTGTCTCTATCGTGTCTTGCTTTTGTCTTTTATTGTGAAATACTCTGTGACATGTGGTCTAAAAGGTGTGATGTAAATACACTGCGGATTATTGATATTCTATTTGAGTGGGTACAAATAAAAGTATTATATTATTGATCGTTAATAAGCTTCCTTTTACGCTGAACCTGACACTGATTTATTTTTAATCATAGCTTCAGTGTAGACAAAATTATTAAGCTCAAAAATTTGAAAACAGTCTGATAACTGACAAAATGAAATGAAATAATAAATACATAACTGTATGCATGCGCTCCTTCAGAGCATATAAATACACATGTATGTGTAAGTATGTGTGCTTTTTAATTTGCTTACTTTTTTATTTGTCTGTTTTTTTTAGATTTATTTATTGGTTTATATTTTGTATCACTGATCAATTTCATGTTTTATATTTTTATTATTTATTCAATGATTCTGTTTTTTATCATTCATTTATGTGTTCCTTTTTTGATGATGATAATTATTATTTTATTATATCTTTTAACAGTAAATAGTTACAGTTTTTCATTCATTATCACTATATTTATTTATATCTTTAATATATTTTATAATACATTTTTATCTGTACTCGTCTGTCATATATACATTTTTCCTGTTCTTTTCTTTTAAATCTATTTTTTCATGTACACATGGAAATGTTCATGCATCTTACATATCATCAAGTGAGAAATGATGTCCGATTAGAGATTAAACTCACCTGGAGGAGGGACGAAGGATCTGTGTGGAGACTTTGGTTCATACTCTTTACCATTCAGAAGCTCCAACACCTGAGAACACAAACACCGTCATGTAAACTCTGCATATTTTAGATCGTGAAAATAAGATGAGTTTATTTCTGTTCAGCCACCTGTTGATCATTATCTCATCATATTGAGGCTTTGAGAATAAAACCAAGGTTGGGTTTGATGTGAAAGGTTTGTTGTCTAAAGGACGTATGAGAATAAAATATGTGTTAGTACACTTCTACATCACTGCAGCACTGTGAGAGTTGAGTTAAAGTCACTGAGAGTTCAGCAGAGACAAGATTTTCAGCTGCTCTTTATACTTCAGTAGTTACCAGGCTCATTTTTGAAAGTTAGATGTTAACAGTTAAAAGTAAACGTCTCTTGAGTCGAGGTGCTGCAGGAGGACGGTGTACCTGAGTGGTGGCTGCCATGTTGAGCGGAGTGGTTCCTGGGATGTAGCCTTCATCTTCATCCTCATCCTCCCTCTCTTCATCACAGGAGTCTTCCTCCTTGAAGAACAGAGGCTCAAAGTTCTCCTTCTTAGGGTCTGCACCTGGAAACACACACAGACAGTAACATGTCAGTCAAGCCTTTAAGTTACTACTACTATTTCAGACAGTAAAAATATAATGTTATGCTTATTTCAAAGGTCCAGCGTGCAGGATTTAGGGGGATATATTGGGGGCATTAATTTGGAAATTAAATATAATAAGAATGTTTTCTTTAGTGTAAAATCATCTGGAGATCTATGGAGATCGCCATGTTGCTCCGTCATGACTGCACTGCTGTATTTCTACAGTAGCCCAGAACGGACACAAGCCCTTCAGCAACAAGCACCATCAGAAAAAGATTTATTTCTTAATATGAAACTGCTTTATTCAGTGTTTTTATCTGCTTAAATCACCTGGTCTGTTTACTTTGGAGAGGAGGAGACCTTTGTGGGTAATTTACCTTCCAGGAAAAATATCCTAAAGGTCGAGGGCCACATGCACAAAGCATCTTAAGTTTGCTCCTTAAGTGTGACACTTAAACGATTTCATGAAATACCTTGCCAATTTCTGACTGGAAAGATCCTGTTGCATAAAACCACAGAGCAATCTTAAATTGTAACGGGGTGTGCAGCTTTGGAAAGTTGAGTGATTCAGCTCCAGATGGTCACAATCATTAATTGACCTCTGGTAAAATTTAAAGTGCCAAATCAGTTGCTCATCAGTGTTCCACTCTTCTCGGGATGCCTTAATATTTCTCATTTATCTCCATAAACTCAGCCATGTTGCCGTTAAGATGGAGCCAGAGGTACGTTATGTTTTTGTCCTTACTTTGGTTACTAACGTTCTCTGTGCAATGGTTAAATAAACTGTGAGCAATTCCTTAAGTATAAGACCAAGATAAGGAGGAAAACTTAAATCCTTAAGTAAACATTTTACGGAAACCTAAAGGAGAAGACTTGAGGATGTTTTGTGCAACCAATTTTTTTTAACTCTGACTTTAAGGGAAATCTAAAGTTAAGGTGGATCTTACATTCATTTATTCATTCATTCATTCATTTTTTGCAACCACTTATCCTTGCACAGGGTCGTGGGCATGCTGGAGCCTATCAGAGCTGTCACTGGGCAAGAGGCAGGCTATACTAATCACCAGACTATCACAGGGCTGAGACATAGAGACGGAAATTCACGCTTGCGCCTATGGGAAATTTTAAGTAACCAATTTATCTAACGTGTCGTGCATGTCTTAAGTTATAAGAGAAAATAGGTGAGCACACATTAGCAAGTGCTAGGCTAAAGGCCTGTCTCCAACATGCCAAACAGCGTCGGAGAAACACCGCTTTGTAACGTGAAACTGCTTTATTCAGTGTTTTTATCTGCTTTAATCACTTGGTGTGTTTGTTTTAGAGAGAAGGAGACCTCTGTGGATAATTTGCCTGGTTGAAATCTGCAATCTTCACCATTTGACGCTACTTAATTCCCCTGAATCTCACACACTGTTTCTTTAAACCAACATGGAACACAAGGTCCTTAAAGTGTAGCCAGCGTGTCCTGTGTGTCGTACCTGCAGCCATCAGGAGAGCTGTCAGCTTGATGGAACCCCGCCCTGCAGCGATGTGGAGGGGGGTGGAGCCATTAAAGGTAAGGGAGTCCACCTTGGCGTTACCCTGACGACAGAAAACATCACACGCTGTTAGATGTTACTGGGTACAACCTGAACCTGACAGCTGTTCGTGCTGTATCCGCTCTCTGCTCACAAATACCCAGTCTGCCCAGTAAACCCAGTCCGGTCAGTACCTCCAGCAGCAGGCAGCCGGCCAGCGACACATTCTCGGCCTCGGTGGCAAGGTGGAGGGCGGTCCGTCCACAGCTGAGCTCCTGAGCCTCCACGTTGGCCCCGCCCTCCAGCAGCTCCCTGAGAGAAGACAGCTGATTGGCCAGGACTGCCAGGTGGATCGCACACAGACCTGTAACCATGGAAACAGACAGACAACGGATTGTCGAACACGTTAAACATTCAGTCTTCCTCTGCGTGTGTGTGTGTGTGTGTGTGTGTGTGTGTACCTGCTGTGTTGGTGTGTTCCAGCAGCTCTCTCAGCTCTCTGTGTTTCAGTAGAAACTGGACCATCCCTCCTCCTCCTCCTCCTCCTCCTCCTCCTCCTCCCAGCTGAGATGCCAGGTGGAGCACTGTGTTGCCATGACGATCTGTCAGAGTTGGGTCGGCGCCGGCCAACAGCAGCGCCTCCACCGCCTCCCTTTGCTGGGTGATCACAGCCAGGTGCAAAGGAGTCTGGGATACATGGACAGAGAGGTTAAAGAGGGTATTGTTCCTTTAATTATACTCGCCCCCTCACCAGGAAGCTTCCTTTCCTTACCAAGGTCATTTTCTTGTTCTCTAACTAGAAACACCTTTGCTCCTTGCTTCCCAAACGCTTTCCTGCCTCCTCCCCTCTAAATAGGAAGCTTCCTTCTTAACTCCTTAAACAGAGAGCTGCCTCAGCTGCACTCTAACAAGGAAGTGTTCTCGCTCCCTTGATGGCGCCTAACTCGATCAGTTGCTTGGTCATTGCTTCCAGGGCTAGTGTCCTTTTTGCCTTGTCCCTCCTAAAAAGAAGCTTCCTTGCCCCCATGTGGGAACTTTCTTCCCTTGCTTCCTGACTAAAAAGTCACCTTTCACTCCCTAAATGCGAAGCTTTCTTTGTTGCACTGCAGCTACTAAGCTTCTTTGACCCCTAACTAGGGTAGTTCGTAAATCCAATCTATGGCGTGACTATTTCCGAACGCACTCCAGGTAAATGTCTTTGTCCCCTAGCCAGGAAGCTTCTTTTCCTACAAGGACATGTTCTTTTGTTCTCTATCTAAGGTGCATTTGTAAACCCAATCTGAAGACCAGTCTTGGTGCTCTCCTGCTCCAAGAGTGTGGTGTTCTGAATAACTGAACACTAGAAAGACAGAGTGCATTTAAGTCCCGTCCCCACCGGAGCTGAAAACAATTCATTGCTCTCCACTGACTTTTCTTTGTGTGAAGGTGCCTTCCTGTCATTTACGGCTGCTAGCAAACAACACAAAAATACCTAAAAGCTGCTTTGTGGTGGGATGCACTACCAACATGGTAAAGAATCTATAGCTACGTTTTTACAAGCTGCCGAACTGAAAAACTAAACTTTAAAGCAATTAGACACGAGGCATCAGCAGGAAGAGTTGATAGTTCAGTACCTGGTAGAGGTGGTTCCTCATGTTGAGCACCTCCTCTCCAGGCAGCACAAACACAACCTGAGTGAGACTCTTCAGCGCTTCTTTCTGGCTGTGGAGAACTGCCAGATGGAGCCCACTGAGAGGAGAGGGAAGAGGATAGAGAAAATGAAGCAGAGACTCACTGTGCTTTGATTTTTATTTCAATCCAAAATATAAAATTGCAAACATGACCTTTTTTAACGAGATCACATAGATGATATTCGAAGACAAGAATAAATAAATTTCAATAGAATATTGTGTGTGTTTTGTGTTTACTGACGTGTCTCCGTCCTCGTCCTGCGCGGTCATCAGGGGGCGCTGTGCAGCCAGCAGGTACGCTGAGTCTCCTGTGACTGAGTACTGAAACAGAGCCTCCAACTGTCTGCTGGTCACCTGAACCAACCGCTCATCTGCATCACACACAAAACATCATTTTAAATTCATTTAATAAAGCACAGCTTAGCAGTAACATTTCATAAAACCTTTGATATGATTCAGTATGAAAACGTTTGTCAGCTTGCTGCCTTTTGAGTCATGATTCTTTTACCATGAATGAAACCTTTAATCACACAGTGACAGTTCCAATAAGTCTGATTAACGTGCACATAATCTAGTTATGACAGAAGGGCTGAAACAATGAGTCAATTAACTGATCAGACTACAAAAAAAATCATCTTTTTTAACAAACTGACGAGAAATAACGGATTCCAGTTTCTCAAATGTACAAATCTGCTTCTTTTCTTTGTTTCTGTGATATTAAACTGCCTGTCAAAACATCATTCATCATGTCACATGCTGTCAGTGTTAACCTAGTAACAACCTGCACCTGTCATGAAGCAGGCTCTGAAATTTAGCCAGCTTGCTTGCTAACTGGCTAACTCAAGTGCTAACTCAAAAACATAGACACATTTTGGAAAAGTAAAAGAGCTGATGGGCAGACCAACAACCCAGCTGACAAAAACTCAGCTGCAAAAAAATACCAAAAACTCCTGGCCGAGTTAAACTCGCAGGTATGAGGCAACATAAAGTATAATCGTCCACTGCACATAAAAATGACTGTTACTGGCCCGAATGTGTTCTCTGCCACGACACCCACTCAAATGAGCATTTAAAAAACCGTCTAAACTTCTGCATGTCTTGAAACAAAAGCATCTGGCAGAGGCCGCACAAAACAGTCAACTTTCAAAGGAAAGAAAGACCATGTGGCCAGGCAGTCGACCATATATGTGCACCGAGCCACTGTCCCGAACGGGCACTGAAGGCATCGTTTTCAGCTTCGTTCATTCGCTTTTGACATTTTGCTGTAGTGTTGTCAATCAATTTTAAAGACATATGCAAATGCTGTTCATGGGGCCTTGGCATGGAAAAGTTCAGAAATTCCTGTTCCAGACCAAACAATTCTTTCATTAATCAAGACGATAACCAGCAGATTTATTAATTAAAAACTATGTTTAGCTACAGCCCTAGTGTAAAACTGACACCAACTCTAAATCTGAATGAAGATCTAAAATGTGTCCTTTAGCTGAGATGACATGAACATACAGTACAGGCCAAAAGTTTGGACACACATTCTCATTCAATGAGTTTTCTTTATTTTCATGACTATTTACATTGTAGATTCTCACTGAAGGCATCAAAACTATGAATGAACACATGTGGAGTTATGTACTTAACAAAAAAAGGTGAAATAACTGAAAACATGTTTTATATTCTAGTTTCTTCAAAATAGCCACCCTTTGCTCTGATTACTGCTTTGCACACTCTTGGCATTCTCTCCATGAGCTTCAAGAGGTAGTCACCTGAAATGGTTTTCCAACAGTCTTGAAGGAGTTCCCAGAGGTGTTTAGCACTTGTTGGCCCCTTTGCCTTCACTCTGCGGTCCAGCTCACCCCAAACCATCTCGATTGGGTTCAGGTCCGGTGACTGTGGAGGCCAGGTCATCTGCCGCAGCACTCCATCACTCTCCTTCTTGGTCAAATAGCCCTTACACAGCCTGGAGGTGTGTTTGGGGTCATTGTCCTGTTGAAAAATAAATGATCGTCCAACTAAACGCAAACCGGACGGGATGGCATGTCGCTGCAGGATGCTGTGGTAGCCATGCTGGTTCAGTGTGCCTTCAATTTTGAATAAATCCCCAACAGTGTCACCAGCAAAACACCCCCACACCATCACACCTCCTCCTCCATGCTTCACAGTGGGAACCAGGCATGTGGAATCCATCCGTTCACCTTTTCTGCGTCTCACAAAGACACGGCGGTTGGAACCAAAGATCTCAAATTTGGACTCATCAGACCAAAGCACAGATTTCCACTGGTCTAATGTCCATTCCTTGTGTTTCTTGGCCCAAACAAATCTCTTCTGCTTGTTGCCTCTCCTTAGCAGTGGTTTCCTAGCAGCTATTTGACCATGAAGGCCTGATTAGCGCAGTCTCCTCTTAACAATTGTTCTAGAGATGGGTCTGCTGCTAGAACTCTGTGTGGCATTCATCTGGTCTCTGATCTGAGCTGCTGTTAACTTGCCATTTCTGAGGCTGGTGACTCGGATGAACTTATCCTCAGAAGCAGAGGTGACTCTTGGTCTTCCTTTCCTGGGTCGGTCCTCATGTGTGCCAGTTTCGTTGTAGCGCTTGATGGTTTTTGCGACTCCACTTGGGGACACATTTAAAGTTTTTGCAATTTTCCGGACTGACTGACCTTCATTTCTTAAAGTAATGATGGCCACTCGTTTTTCTTTAGTTAGCTGATTGGTTCTTGCCATAATATGAATTTTAACAGTTGTCCAATAGGGCTGTCGGCTGTGTATTAACCTGACTTCTGCACAACACAACTGATGGTCCCAACACCATTGATAAAGCAAGAAATTCCACTAATTAACCCTGATAAGGCAAACCTGTGAAGTGGAAACCATTTCAGGTGACTACCTCTTGAAGCTCATGGAGAGAATGCCAAGAGTGTGCAAAGCAGTAATCAGAGCAAAGGGTGGCTATTTTGAAGAAACTAGAATATAAAACATGTTTTCAGTTATTTCACCTTTTTTTGTTAAGTACATAACTCCACATGTGTTCATTCATAGTTTTGATGCCTTCAGTGAGAATCTACAATGTAAATAGTCATGAAAATAAATAAAAACGCATTGAATGAGAAGGTGTGTCCAAACTTTTGGCCTGTACTGTATATTTTATTCATAATCACAAGTTGGAGATTTGATCATCTGCTGTGTTTGATTAAAGTCCAAATTCAGCTGCGGCAGGGTCTGAGTTAATGAGTTAGTGTTTCTCTGTGTGTATGAAAACAGTCAGTACATTTACATGCACAGTTGAGTGGAGCAACAGTTACAGCTTGACTAGGACATTTAACTGGCCTACTGTCCTTGTCCCAGTATACAAGCACAGGAGGGGAATCCATTTATTGAGCCAAGTATGTGCGACTCCTCTACGATAGGTGGAGATATGCCCCCTTTCAGCTTGTTAGTATTGGACCTTTTTCCTGTTGACCTAATACGTCACAGACCAAACAATGGACAAACAAGTTAGCTACGGTTAGCTAGCAGCTAACTGCTACCATGGTGGACAACTTTATAGCTCTGTACATTTGGTCCGTCCAAAAAGTCACGGCTCTGGATGTAGATTTCTCCATGTTGTTACCGGCTTCTTCTTCTCTTACACATTTAATGCTATTGGACTTCCGGGTCAAAGCCCAGGGCAGAAACTGTGGAGCATGCTCAGAGAACCAGTTTGTGTACGATTTTAGTCGGACTAACATGTTTACATGTAATTTAAAAGTCCAGTTTTCGTCGGACTGACACAATTAATCGATTTTCTCTGATGTCATGTGGATGCACTGAGTGTGTACGATGACGGCAGGTTGTAGCTGTGTACCTCTGTGTGGCTCTGGCTCCTCCTCAGTCCTCTCCCCTGCCTCGAGGTTTCCCTTCAGGGCTGAAGTTCTCAGCACGACCCCCGACCCCGAATCATCATCTGGATCACTGTCGTCGCTGCTGTCGTCTGCTGCGCCACTCTCAGAGGCTTCAACACAACATTTCCAATTAAGAATTAGGATCTTTGGTTTGGATGCAAGTGCATATCGTGGTGTTGTGAAATAAAATAGACTGTAGATTTCAGTGTTATTTCTCACCATGTTTGATGCCTCCTCCTGCCAAACCAGCTGAGTATCCTGTGGAGAAACCTCCACCTCCTCCTACTCCTCCTCCTCCCCCATAGTTGTAGGTAGTAAAGCCCTGAAAGTAACCTGAAATCAAACACACCCACAACATCAGCTGACAGTCTTGTGATGATGAACAACAGTGACATGAAGATGGTTTATATCTTCTACTTTTCTGAAACATCCAAACTGTCAATGACTCTCCAGGTTTTCCAGGCTTGTGGTGCTGATTTTACCTCCTCCTCCCCCAGAGCCGGGTCCTCCTCCTGCAGCGGGACCTCCACCTCCTCCTCGGTACAGACCTCCACCTCCTCCGTGACCGCTGAAGTCCTGGAAGTTTGGCAACGTCTTCTGTCTCTTCCTCTGTACCTCCTCCTTGTCTGAGCACACACAGGTACATGAGTGTGAGCATGTGCACAGGTGAGCTTTATGTCACCACAACAGTGTGTTTGTTGGTTGGTTGGTTGGTTGATGCTCTACTGTGACACTGAAATACCAAATGATCTGAGGGGGGAGTCACCTGACCTACCTATGATCTGAGGGTGGTAGGTGAAGGGTTTGGGCTCGCTGGTCTCGTTGTCAGACTTCCTCTTTAGCTGGACAAACACAGACGTGGGCTTCTGCAGGTTCTGGTCTCGATACTTCGGAGTCTTGAACACGATGGCAAACTAACGACAGAGAACACATCATCAAATCACAATATATCGCATTATATCTTGTCGCAATATTCAGCGTATCCCGACATATTTAAATCATGGTAATAATGTATCGTGACTTCCTTGTGTGAAAACTATTAACAGTAGTGCTACTACGTCCTCGTACGGACCTGTCTATGGACATCTGTCGGGGAGAAATCTCCCAGAGCCTCCCAGGTCAACCCCGAGTCATCTTCTTCATAGAACCGAACCTGGATATCATCTGGAAACACACACACACAAAACAATTTACACTACTTTTAACTCAACATTTTCTTTTTAGAAATACTGGTGTTCTCTAGATTGTGTTTTTCTTTCATGTCTGAAATCTCTGTCGTGTCTTCGTCCCCATTATTCTAAAGAAAACAGCAACACCTCCATTCATTCAGAGGTTAAATTTAGATTTTGTACAATTTGGTTTAAAAACTGTATCAAAATTATTTTTTCTGCCTAATATAACATCAGTCCGGGGAGCTGTGGGCCTCTGACCACATGTTGAATGTACAAACTAATGTTTGTTGTTGAGGCGACCTCAGTGTAAATCCATGAGCAGCTGAACTGGAGGATTACAGAAACTGAGTCCAGATCAGCTGCTGCCGCTCTGCCAAGATAACTAAACAAACAAAAACAAAGAAGAAGAAGAAGCAGGACACAAAAAGAAAATGATCCCAGTCTGAGTCGGTCTCTTCCTCCTGAGGGATTTCACGTATTATCGGAGGGGAATTCCCTGAAGCTGGACTTCCTCCAGGAGAACAAACAGCTGCTCTGACGAGGAAAAACTGTTCACAGATCCACTTCACTGCATCCAAATAAAGCTTCAGGGAAACAACACAAATAAGATCTCTTCAGCTGCTGTGCTAAATACAATTAAATATGATTTAAATGCTAAAAATCAGCATGACTGTAATAAATGTCATGTGTTTGTGGATGAATACACCCTCAGCAATAAACTCATATTTCCTTTCAGTGTCCATCAGACTTTCAAACTCCTTTTAAAGACCTGCAAGTGTTTCTAGTGGATGAAAATATGTTTATCATTTTTCTGAATATCATTTTTTTACAAGCATGTACTCGTAAAGAAATTATTTCTATGTGGGCTGGCTGCAGCTGGGAAATAAACCTGAGAGTAAAGAAAAAAAAACGTGAAAATAAAACACTAACTGGTGTTTTAGTCTTTCATGTTCATGTTTACCAGTGTGACTTTACCGATCCTAACAGTCAGTAAGAAAAGCAGCTGATCACTTACATCTCCTATAAGGGTTTGACTAAAGAATTAATTAGGGATGGATATCGTCAGGATATTATTGATATTGATATGGATACTGATACTCTAATGACAGGAAAATGTTAAGTATATTCTTGTTTTATAACAATATATATACATACTTATAACAGCAGCAGAGCTCCAGGCACCAAGGTAAAAAATACAATCTAATATTACGATATATCTGTAACTTATAAAGTTACATAATGTTACGTTAAATGGCAAATAACTTAAAGCTAAAGACAAGTAGCAAACTAATCCCAGTTAGCTGCAATTCGTTAGCTGAAATGACGTTAGCTAACGATAAGGAAGCACTATAACATCAATGAATTTCCATCATGGGTCCCAGCGCCAGATGTGGGCCCAAGTTTGGAGCTCTGTGGCAGGACCCTGTTGATTAGCTCACCCGCCATCTGCAGTTCATGTTAGTAACCCTACCTGCAGTACTTCCTGTCCTGTCCAGCTTTTTGCTCCACCGCATGAGTAAATTAAGCAAAGTTTGAGCTCACCACACCTCAGGTGTGATCACTGAGCAATCTGTTTGAATAACTGCATTGTTTTTTTTTTTTGTTTTGTTTTTTTTTGTATTTATTTAGTTAGTTGGATGCTTGCACGTCTACAGCAGCTGGATGCCCGATGCTTTAACTTTTTCTGCCTACACCAGCAGCTAAAATAAAACCAGAATTACTGCCTTGGTGTATTGCCTTCATGAACCAGTCACCAATTCAGTATCTGACCAAATGTCTCACCTTCTGTTCCTGAGATATGACGCTGAATAATGGCCAGAAAAGGGTTTTATGCAGAACATTATGATGTCACAGTGAAGTTGACCTTTGACCTTTTGGATATAAAATGACATTATTTTATCCTGTTAGACATCTGTGTGAAATTTTGTCATAATCAGCGTATGAATTCTTGCGTTATGGCCAAAAACATCATTTGAAAGGTCACAATGACCTTTGGCCACCAAAATATAAACAGTTCATGCTTAAGTCCAAGTGGACATTTGTGCCAAATTTGAAGAAATTCCTTTACGGTGTTCTTGAGATATCGTGTTCACAAGAATGAGACACTCGAGGTCACAGTGACCTTGATCTTTGACCGTTGACCACTGAAATCTAGTAAGTCCATTCCAAAGGTCAAGTGGACATTTGTGCCGATGTTGAAGAATTCTCTTACGCCGTCTTTAAGATATCGTGTTTACGAGAATAAGACAGACAGATGGGGGTGCGTACATACTGTACTTACTTACAGACAGACAACCTGAAAACATAATTTTGACTAATTAACCTTAAGTAATTAACCTTTTGCTGCCTATCGATGTGTCTGTGGGACACTCGCACTGCTGCTATGAAAAGCTACATGAGTATAAACAGGTGATGATGATAGATTAGACTCATCTGCGGTTATTTTCCCAAAAGAATACCTTGTCGTAAATGAATCGAGGTACAGTACGCAGCAGAGAGTACAACCGAAACCATAAATATACAGTATGTTCCTTTACTTTCAAAGCAGCCTCTCTGAAAAATAAATCCTCCAAAAGTTTATGTCAGAAAATAAACAATAGTCAATTTTTTTTATATATTTGGTTGTGATGAGATTTCGAGGCTTTCAAGTCCTAATTGCTAAAGAGCCTCTTCACTGATAAAACCACTCAATGCTCCTTTAAACACGTGTGTGCAGAGGATTCAATGAACCGTCCAGCAGGTGGTGATATTATCAGCCGATAATCACCAAGATAAAACACCTAATTTACATTTCCTACACTCACGATATCACTGTGAAAGTAGAGAAACTCTTAACGTCCGAGCTGATACGAACTGAAAATGGAAATCTGTTTTTTCTTTTAATCCAGTCATCACTTTACAGAAACCAGAAGAGGAAAAAGCTTCATATGAATCAAACCTGTGACTGAGTCTCAGCTTTGGGGTTTTTCTCCTCTGATTTTTTGGGGGGGTTTTATGTGTTTTTATGTTTTTTCAGTGTTGCTGTAAAATGTACTTTAGAAACAGTCTTTATATGAAGTCTCACCTTTCTGGACTTTGTCACAGAGCAGGTAGACCTCCTCTCCTCCACTCACACAGCCGGCGGTTCGATCCATCCTCACGATCTTCAGGTTGGAGGCGTTCGGAGCCTCTGAGGGAAGAAAGACAGAAACACAGCAGGTCAGTCAGTGGAGGAAGAAAAAGGCTGTGGGTTCAGAGACATAAATGCAGCTGCAGCGAAAAGGTGTTTTCACTGTTAAACCTTACAGTATTTTTCTAATCTACATTTAATTTGGACTAAATGTGTCCTGGAACTTTCCCAAGGACTCCTGGAACATCCTCAAGAGTCTGAAGACGGTCTTCAAGTGACTAAAATAAACTTTACTGTAACATTTGACAAATGTTTGTCCAGAAATGATGAGGTCAGTCTGTCCAAGGAATTTAATCTGAACAGTAGCTGCTGAGATGAAGCAGAAGATGAACACTCCAGATTTTAAATACCCCCTGGGCCTTTCCCCTCAGGACAAACTTTACTTGTTTAGCTCCACGACTGTTCAGACTCTAAGAATAGATTGTCATCAGTGTGCTGTTTGTTCTGTTCAACACATTCATATTGTGGCTGTCGTGAACTCTGCACCCTCTGGGGGGGACCACCAAGGGTTTTTACAAATGTTGGATGACGAAAAAAGAAACAAGATTAAAAAATTAAACTTCTCAGCTTTAGTCTGAATCTAAAGTGAAAGCGCAAAGCAGTCCTGAGGTGATGAATTTCAGTCTTCTGAGAGGAAGCTGCAGCGTACGGAAACCAAACCAGCAGGAAGAGGGAAATGAAACCAGGCGGTCTGTCACGACTTGACAATAATCCTCAGCTACAGAGAGTCAACTGTAGACCCGTTCACTACGGAGGGTGTAATCAGAGCTCAATAACTTAGACCTGCAGTGAGTTTTATCCCATTAAATCTCTAACCATCTTATGCTACTACAGTACAACAGCCCTGCAATGGATAGATATTGTTCTGACTTGTGTTATCTGCAATAAATGAGGTAACAGTTTGTTTCAGAATCAGTTAAAGTACTGGCCTGGTTGTACTGCTGTAGCAGCCAATTCACCATGGTTCAATAACCAACATTGATCCATGATATTACAGTGGTTCAGAGTTCAGTTTTAAATCTAAAGTACAGCTCACAGTAGGCCAATGTCACAAACTATCATTTAAAAACTTCTTCCCAAAGTATCATAGTAAAGAAATACCAATAAAACACAGGCGTGACCTGCAAACTGACTTCTGTCTTTAAACCTCTGTGATAAAGCTCTCAACACTCAGAGTGATTAATAAATCTATACATCTATTAATAATTCATAGATTGTTGATTCTTGCCTGAATTAAAAATCTATTAATCGACTCCAGAATGTACAGAATTCAGCTGCCAGGCTGCCATACATTTTAATCATAGAATTTTTATCGTATCGGTGTAACAACAGTCTGTTTCCAGGTTTAAATGCTTGTTCAGACATCATGTATGTTTTCATTCATGTTTCTTCCTCTCTTTATTTTTCCTCCACACACACAGATGAGCCTTTTTCTGTGGTGAAAAATGTGACTAAGATCATGTATGAAAAAGCAGGCTGGCAAAATGTGAAACTAAGCAGAAAATGAAACTTAATTTTGTTGTGGTTTCATACTAGAATCATAAATTAGAGATTTAACTCTCAGGTAGTGCCCACACTGCAGACTTTTCTGAAGATGGGTTATAAATATTCAGCATGTTTGATTCGGACAGTATTCTGAACCCCTCTGGGATCTTGCATCAGCTAATGAGTGAGCAGCCTGAAGAAGGAATCTACAAAACTGCCAACTAGCTGTCCTCTTTGAAACAGGATTAATGAAAGCAGCCTACAGTGTCTGAATGTGTAACTGTGTGAGAGTTCAGACTCACTGCTGTCGTAGATCGGTTCAGACACGACAGGCTCGAGTCGTCTAGAGAAACCTCCGTCACTGTCGGGGAGGAACGCCGTGAACATGAGCCGAACAACGCTGAGGTCCATTTCTTTAGCCTGAAGAGATGCCGCGCTGTTGATCACACTGCGCTGGTGGTCTGAAGAGAGCGATGGGGGACAGACGTACTTTCATTAATTGAAAAAACAAGGTGAGAAAAAATAAAATAAAATACAAGGCAGAGATAAAAAAAATATAAGAAAATGGTTGATATTTTATCAGGTTTTTCATGACTGGACAAAATGTAAGGAAAGATTAAAAAAATATCCTCACTTTTAGAAAGCCTTCTCCCTTTCCTAAAACGTCCACACATTCCTAAAAAGTCCTCACCTTCCTGAAACGTCCTTGCTCTCCTGAAATGTCCTCACTTTCCTGAAACGTCCTTGCTCTCCTGAAATGTCCTCACTTTTCTGAAACGTCCTTGCTCTCCTGAAATGTCCTCACTTTTCTGAAACATCCTCACTTTCCCGAAACATCCTCACTTTCCTGAAACGTCCACACATTCCTAAAAAGTCCTCACTTTCCTGAAACGTCTTGCTCTCCTGAAATGTCCTCACTTTCCTGAAACGTCCTCACTTTCCCGAAACGTCCTCACTTTCCTGAAACGTCCACACTCTCCTGAAACGTCCACACTATTCTAAAATGTCTTCACTTTCAAAAAATGTTCTCACTTTCCTAAAACATCGCCACTACTCTAAAACATTACTTTTCCTCACATCATAAAACGTCCTCACTGAATTTAAAAATTCCTCACATTCCAAGAAATATACTTGCTTTCCTAAAACTTCCTACCTTTTATTAAGTGTCCTCACTTTTCTTAAAAAGTTCTTACTTTCCAAAACATAACCTCACCTTCCTCAAACATCCTTATTTCCCAACTTTCCAAAAAATGTCCTCACTCTCCTTAAATGTACTCACTTTTCTAAAACATCCTCACTTTGCAAAATGTTCTTTCTTTCTTTCTTTCTTTCTTTTTGTCTGTCTTTCTTTCTTTCTTTCCAACATGTCTCTGCAAGTTCTATAAGTTCAATAGGTCCTCTAAAAGTTACCAGAACAGGATCAAACACACACACACACACACACAAACACAGAGGACTGACCGGTGAGGTCTCGGGGGACTCGGACTTCCCCCTGCAGGACATCGATTTCAGGGTGGATGGAGACTCCACAGTTGTATCCCAGCCTGAAGGCCTCGATCATCCTCTCCTCCAGAGTCTTCGCCACGTTCTTCTTCGTCACATGAAGGATCCCCAGGTTAGGAAAACTAAGAGAAACACACCTGTGAGTCTCACACCTGACAGGTTCATACCTGTATTTACATTACAATCTCTGAGTGGTTCCTGCAGACCTGATGTTGGAGTCTTTGGGCTGTAGGTCGGTGATGCAGATCCCTTTGTCGCACTGTTTTCCCACCAGACTGTGAGCGTGGAGCTGAGTGACGGGGGTCAGCGCCGTCACCAGCTGGACCACCACCCGGGCCGGACCCTGGTAGTTACAGATCTGAAACACAGACGGATTTATTGACAGTAGTTCAATAAATTACAAAACAACATTCTTTATTTTTTTGCTCCTGATATTTTAACAATCACCTGGAAAAAAAGGAGGACGTGACTTAAACTGTACTGGGTCTTAGGTCCACGCTGGATCCATAAAAACTATAAGACCTGAGGGTCGAGGGATCAAATACAAAATCTGCCTTCTTATGCTTGGTTTTAAGTTTATTTTTTAAGCTTCAGAATCCAAATCGATGCAACAGAATCAGACATATCATCCATTATTTTATTCCACATATTCTTGAATTTCCCCCCTGGCAGATCAATAAAGTGTATCTTATCTTATTCTTCTTTCTTGTTGAAACCTGGGGTCTCATTTATAAACACTGTGTACATAGAAAACGAGGCTACAGTTTTGATTAGCTCATGTTTCACAGAAACACCAGGCTTCAGCAAAAAATTGGTGAATTTAACTTCCACTTCCACTGGAATTTAATTATTTCCAAATGCATCCTGTGTGTTGATAAAATCACTGATGCCTGTCATAAATCTTTGATATTTTAGTCATTTTTCACAGATAATCAGCATGTTCTCCACGTGTAAGTCCAGCCAACCACAGCTCCCATACAAAGACATATTCAGCTTTATGAACACATAACGTGGTGTATTGATTATGAATACAGTCCATCTGATGCTGGTTTTGTTTCATCACTGTAGCCAGTATCTCACTATCACTATCCTCATTCAGATTTTAAGAAGCTACAAATTATATTCAGCCACAAAATAAGTCTGAAAAGCTGCAAATCAGAACAGAAGTACAGAGAGTTGTTGACTAGAGATGATACGCCGTCTCATGGTGGTCACTTCCTGTCAGCGTTACAGATCAGAAGTACAGAGATTTGTTGACTAGAGACGATACGCCGTCTCATGGTGGTCACTTCCTGTCAACGTTACAGATCAGAAGCACAAAGAGTTGTTGACTAGAGACGGTACGCCGTCTCATGGTGGTCACTTCCTGTCAACGTTACAGATCAGAAGTACAGAGAGTTGTTGACTAGAGATGACACACCGTCTCATCTAGTTGCATTGGTGGGAACTGGCAGGTTTTCAGAACGCTGCACGTTTCATCTCGTCTTGACGCAAATCTTTGGTCTGAACTAACACTTCGCCAATGTTGTTTCTCTAATTTTTGGTAGTACATCCAACCAGCCTTGAAAACACAGACGGCTGTGTCTCAGAGGTAGAAGAGGTAGTACTGAAGACTTTCTGCATGAACAGTCACAAACCATCTCAGGGAAGCTCATCTGCATGCAAAAGATTGGAAGACATTTAGGAATTTAGCAACACAATCTACCTTTTTCATCAGCTGAGGCTTGAACTCACAAGCTCTGAGACTAAGGATCAATTTCTATCTCACTGAGCTAATTAGTCAGTGACAATTCATATGTAGCTTCACAAATTGACTAAGCCAGACGTGCAGGTTTAGCAGCCGTCCATGCATGGAAAAGCAGATTTCAAACCACTGTAAAAAATTCAGTTATTAAGACAAAAATCTGAAAATAAACATATTGCATCTAGACAGCATGGAGATGTTGGTAATTTGTTTGTAACAATGATTGATTTGCTCCATAAGTGAAAAACTGATGTTTAACTAGTTGAGCTATGTGCAAAGTGAGAAGCCTCAGATGGTTTCACACTGAAGTATTGACACTGGATCTTTGTGCAAAGTTTGGTTTATTTTCAAGCATGAGAAGGCAGATTCTCTAGCAGAAAAAAGACTTGAAGATGCTGCACAGTGATCAGTCACGCTCAGGCAATTTTAAGCAATAAGCTGGAGCACAAGAAGATAATTACATTACAATGTGAATTCTGCACCAATTGAGGCTCAAATCCGCAACCTCTGGAACCTAAGACAGTCATCTACCACTCTGAGCTAATTGGCAAGTAGCAACTCAAAAGTGGCTTCACAAATTGAGTAAGCCATTCACTGTTGTGTAGGAAAGCAGCCATCCATGCATGGAAAGGCAGATTTGAAACCACTGTAAAAAATTCAGTTATTAAGACAAAAATCTGAAAATAAACATATTGCATCTAGACAGCATGGAGATGTTGGTAATATGTTAGTAACAATGATTGATTTGCTCCATAAGTGAAAAACTGATGTTTAACTAGTTGAGCTATGTGCAAAGTGAGAAGCCTCAGATGGTTTCACACTGAAGTATTGACACTGGATCTTTGTGCAAAGTTTGGTTTATTTTCAAGCATGAGAAGGCAGATTCTCTAGCAGAAAAAAGACTTGAAGATGCTGCACAGTGATCAGTCACGCTCAGGCAATTTTAAGCAATAAGCTGGAGCACAAGAAGATGATTACATTACAATGTGGATTCTGCACCAATTGCCACACATCATCTACCATGACTCTAGAATTTTGTCATTTTTTTCATGAACATTGAAGATTTATTTAGCAAGAATTTGCATGTAAATGTTCACAGTACCGTTTACAGTCAAACATTTTGATGCACTGTAGGCTCAATTTTTGATAAATCAAAAATATGAGAAACATAGTTTTTGTAGGACAGTCTGAAGATGCTCTGTAGCAAGTTGGGTGTCAACTGAGCAAAAATTGTGGGAGGAGATAGGTTTAAGAAGTTTTACAGTTTTTGAAAAACACAGAGTGATGAACTTCATAATTTTTAATAGGTTTAAATGTACAAAAGTTTCTTCCGTATTGGGGCTACAGTTTGATGACAGTTGTGAAGGTGTAGCACGTATGGTTGATTTGTTATAAATTTTCAAAGTTTTGAACTTCAGACGCTTGCTGTAGCGCCACCATCAGGACTATTGGCTTGAGTTTACAGCTGAGGATATCTGGCATGAGACTGGACCTTTGTGCAAAGTTTGGTGAGTTTTCACCCATGGGAAGTATGATTTCCTCGGAAGAAGAAGAAGGAGAAGAAGAAGAAGAAGAAGAAGAAGAAGAAGAAGAAGAAGAAGAAAAAGACGACCTAGTATTACAATAGTGTCCGGACCCTAATAAAACTGCACATTTTCAAGTGGCCTTTTACTGTGACCATCCCAAAGCACACCTGTGTAGCAATGATGCTGTTCAATCAGCATCTTTATGTCACACCTGCCAAAGAAGACCTGCTCACTGACAGAGTTTAACAAATTTCCGACCAAAATTTGTCAGCAATAAATCTACTGAGTGCATTAAAAAGTCTCAGCTCTTTAAGTTCAACTTGTGAAAAATGGTGTTGCATTTAAATTTATCTTCACAATGCAATTTAAGACCAAATAAAATATTTATCTTTTTTTTAATTTGTTTCTTCTTTGTGGTTTATTTGCTGTAGTTGTCTCTGGAGTGTTTCACTCATAATGATATGTTATCTCACACTAGAACTGAGCTGTTTTACATAAAGGAAATCAGATGTAAAAAATACTGTGTTCCTGTTTCGTGTGTGTGTGTGTGTGTGTGTGTGTGAGAATCATGTCACTGCAGGTATTCATTCGCCTGCAGGAACGTTGCAACTGCCGCAGTAAATAAACACGAGCACCACTTCCTCTTCCCGGTTCTGTTGGCCAATCGAAGACGCACAAACCCAGTTCCTAGAAACACAGCGAGTGCTGCAGCTTAATGGTTTCCTGGCTTGAACAGGTTCACACTAAATATTTGTAATAAATGTCACTCCCAGTAGCTCGAAACAGCCAGGTGGGGTTGGAATACAAACACACTAAGACCTGCTGCTGCAGTAAAACACAAACTATCACAGGTGTCTGCACAGAGCTGTTGTTCAGTGACATTAACATGCGCACCAATTACAACAGGTTAGGTCTTAAATCAGCATTAAATTTAAAAATATCTACATCCATCCATCCATTTTCATCTGCTTTTCTGGAGCCGGGTCACGGGGACAGCTAGCCAAGCAAAGCACCCCAGACATCCCTCTCCCCAGCAATGCTTTCCTGCTCCTCCTGGGGGACCCCAAGGCGTTCCCAGGCCAGATGAGATATATAATCCCTCCAGCGTGTTCTGGGTCTGCCCTGGGGCCTCCTACCAGTGGGACGTGCCCGAAACACCTCAAACAGGAGGCGCCCAGGAGGATCCTGATCAGATGCCCGAACCACCTCAACTGACCCCTTTTGACGTAAAGGAGCAGCAGCTCTACTCCGAGCTCCCTCCGAATGTCCGAGCTCTTTACCCTGTCTCTAAGGCTGAGCCCAGACACCCTTCAGAGGAAACCCATTATGGCTGCTTGAATCCACGATCTCATTCTTTCAGTCACTACCCAGAGCTCATGACCATAGGTGAGGGTTGGGACGTAGCTGGACCAGTAAATCGAAAGCTTTGCCTTCTGGCTCAGCTCCCTCTTCACCAGGACGGTCCGGCGCAGCACCCGCATCACTGCAGAAGCCGCACCAAACTGCCAATCTTTCTCACGCTCCATTCTGCCCTCACTCGTGACCAAGACCCCGAGATACTTGAACTCCCTCACTTGAGGCAGTAACTCACTCCCAACCCAGAAACATGTAGAAAAAAAAAGCAGCAGCAATCACAAAAACTTCTTTGGTTGACACAATTAAAGTCACTTTAATTTCCATTTCTCTGGTGTGACTAACAAGATCAAAATGAGGGGAGGTTTCTCCTTCTTATCGACTCCGCCAACACAAAGTAAAAACAGTATCAGGCTTATTTCGTTTTGGAAAATGTAGTAAAACGATAACTGAGCAAAAAGTAAGAAAGAAGTCCAGAAACATGAACGGAACATGACCAATCGCTGAGTGGAAAACGTTAAAATGTCAACAGTCTGCGGCTGTGACTGATCAACATGGAGTCGCATGAACATGAAGTAGGCTGGCGATGTGTCGGTCATCAAAAAAGGGTTAAAACGTGTCAGTATTTCTAGGCCAGAGTGGGCGCTCACAAAGATATTACACCTCTGGATGTTTCATCTCCGAGCTGAAACTCAACACCTTTCCTGTTTGTGACGCAACTCCACTTCCTTGTAA